CAATAAAACCTCTCTGGCCTCCATTCTCACCACAAATTGAACATCAGTTTATCGGCAAAGTCTCTCCCAGCTCTCATATTTGGAGACTCTTGATTCATTATTTAAGTCATGAATTTACTCAATATTTATTGAGCATCTGCTACGAGTGTGCTAGTGCTCTAGGTACTATGAACAAAACACCTGAACTTGACACCTGCTTTCCAGTGGTGATAGAGGTGAAACACACACACACACACACACACACACACAACAATAACAAAAACCCCATGATTAATAACTTAAGTTATTTACTCAAATAGATGTCACGTTCTCCATTATAGACAGTGTTAAAGAAGAAATTCATATTTCAATTCAATAAAGTTATCAATCCCTCTGCTGGGTGGAAATGAGCCCTCAAACCTTTGACTGAGCAGGCAAGATGGAGTAGTAGCTGTTAATCATGCAGCGGAACCTACAAGAAAGGAGCAGGTGGGGAAGGCGGAAAAGGCTAGGAAGATGAGCTGCTCTGGCTAGGCCAAGAGACAGCCAGCCAGCACCTACTTAATTCTGCCTTGCTGTGGGAAGAGTCAGGACACCTGGTTCCAAACTAGGACTCTTCCACCAGTATGCTGAATAATGTCCCTCAAGTCATTTCACTCTCTGGCCTTCAGTTTCCTCCTCTTTGTAACTTGCGGGTGTTGAACTTGGAGGTATCTAATATTCTCCAGGTCTACTAGGCATGTGTCTATTTTCCCCCACAAGATTATAAACTCCTGGAAGGATAACTCTGATTTGTCTTTGTGTCCTCAGCATTTGTAGCACAGGTGTGTTGTGTGATGAATAAATGGAGGGTTTGAGTCTTTGGGAAGTTTCCCTACAGCCTGGGGCCTTGTCAAGGAAGCTCTTGTCAAGAGATAGCCCTAAGCTATCACTCTTTGTCTGCACTAGCCTCAGACATCCTGCTTGACTGTGCATTGACCTTTTAGCCCAAGGGACCTCCTATCAAGGGGAGGTTGGTGGGAAGTATCCGTTTGTTTACTTTTCATTAACCTGTCTCCAGTGGGCTGTGTCAGGGGGAAAGAATGCTGGGAACTGGTCAGATGAGTGAATAGCCCCTTCTCAGACTTGAACTCTGTCATCCTCACTCATCTTTAGTTCAGAGTCATGGCTCCACAAACACCCTGTGCTGGTCTTACCTGGAGCCCACCTGCCCTAATGAAGGGAACCTATGTTCCTGCATGCAGCTCCATGCACCTCTATCTAGAGGGAGTCCTGCTGGGTGTGCGCAAGGCCCAGTAATCACCTCGCTATTGATCTGTGGATGGTAATTCTGAAGCAACCATTGGTGCTCAGCAGGAGAATGCATGGTGGGGATGTGGTGATTACGGAGTGATGGCTTAGACTGCCAAGGAGTCTCTGGACAGCTGCAATGGCCCTCAAATCTGCAGGGGATTCCCAAGGTTCATGGAGAGGGAGCCTCTGGACTTCTGCCTTCCCCAGCTGTGGCAGCTGGGAGACTGGGGAATAGGGTTAGTCTCATTCCTAATCCTGATTGGCTGACAGGGCAGGAGGTGGGGGATCAGGAAGAAAAGTGGACTCTGCATCCTTCCAGTGGCTCTTCCTTCTATCAAGGAGCTGAGGTGTCGTTAGTGACCCGAAAATGACATTTCAGGCTGGTGCACCAAGTGAAGTGCCTTCCCGTGGGAAAATAGCTCCAGATGACTGGGCCACATCCAAGCGGAAAGAGAGCCGGAGCCACTGACCTACAAAAATAACGAGTGTAAAGAAAACCATGAAACCCAGCTTCAGTACCCTATTTACATGTCATCAGTTTTGTGTAGAGAAATCCCTCAAGATCAGGCTATTTTCCCCAAGGAAGGCTCCCAGGTGCAACGCAGGGCTGCCAGTCTTGGAACCTTGGGTGTTCTGGTGACAGGTCCTAAGACCTTGGGAATTTTTAACATTTTCTAAATCTTGGTTAAACTCATTTGAAAATGGGGATAGCAACAGAACAGGGTAAGTAACAGAATCACAAGAGAAAGCAAATGGGAACACTTTATAAATCATAAAGCAGAAGGAAAAGTTAGCTGTTGCTGTTGGATTCACTTTTTTTTTTTTTTTGACATCAGAAATCAGGGCTTTATTCTGCAATATGGAGGAAACATGCTTTGTCCACCTGCCCCAGACATAAATCGTTATCACTCAGGAACTGGCCAGCAATGCCCCTTGTGGACCCCTTGCAGGGTTCTAAAGACAAACCCGAAAATTCTTTCTTCCCTTAAATACACCCATATCATTATTTACAGAGTTCACTTTTATACTGGTATAAACAGTTATACTAAGGTAGCACTTCGATTCAAGATGCTGAATAAAAAGTGTACTTTTTTCCCCTACTGGAGATTGAAGCCCGGAGTGCTCTACCACATAGCTACATTCCAAGCCCTTAATTTTTTTTTTTTTTTTTTTTAGTTTTGCAACAGGGTCTTGGGAAGTTGCTGAAGGTCTAAATTGCCCAGGCTAGTCTTGAAATTGTGACCACCCTGCCTCAGCCTCTGGGATTACAGGCATGCACCACTACATGCAGTCGAAGAGACCTTTTTCTTTCTTTTTAAACTTGGCCATGGAAGCTGACCACAATCTCTGTCCCAAAAAGGCAGTGATAGTTTAGCAAGGAGCCCCGGTGTGACCAGCCCCCACCCTCTCCCCTCCAATACTGCCATCCTATCCACCCTTCCCAGCTCCTAAGCCTCTGAAGAGAAGACCTGACCCTTTCAGATGTCACCCCTTTCAGATGTCACCCCTTTCAGATGTCACTATGACATTGGGATAATGTTGGAATTAAGTAATCTCAATCCCTTTTAGCTCTGATATATATATATCTCAGATATATATATATATATATATATATATATAAGAATACCCATCTTCTGCCACCCTCTCTTGTCCACTCTTTGCCTTCCCATCCTGTCCCAATTTTGCCCTTCTTCTCTGGGGGTTGCATTTGATCCCCTGTACCTTCTCTTTGCTATATCCTCACCAACACATCTCCTTTGCTCATATTCTTTGGTCCCTCCACGTTTTGACAAGAAAGATGTGTCTCTTCTCCAAGTGGCGACTCCCTGAGAATTCTTTAAGTGGCTGGGGGTGGGGGGCGCAGAGATCTAATGTATTTTTGGTACCAGAGATAATTAGATAATTGTGCAATTAGCAGTAATTTTATCCCTCCTGTAATTTCCTTCTAACAAGAGCCCCCTTTAAAAAAAATGAGGGATTTCTTTTTTTCCCCTTGTTGTTGTTTTGTCTGGAGTGTCTGTCATCAGAAATTTGGTCGGACACCCACGCATTCCACGGGGAAGCGAGGGGGAGGGGAAGGATGTGGGAGGCAGAACTCCTGCGAGAGAGAATCTGCCAAGCGGCCAGCTCTTCTCCGCTCCCCTGCAGAGCACAGACTGTGGGAGGGGACGGTGCAGGAGGAGATTGCGCTAGTCTCCAGAGACAGTCCCCGTTTCTACAATGACTCCCCCAGACCTTCCCCCACGCATTGCCCTCTGGGCTGCTGGGGAGGGAGACTTGGGAAAGGCACCAGAGGCTGGGAGGGTGCAGCTGGACTCCTCAGGGACTCGGTGGTTTTTTTGCAATAGAGGCCTCCTAGTACGTGTCGCAGATGGGGTGCAGAGGGCAGCTCTCCAGGGCTCTTATGCCGGACTCTGTTTCCTTGGGCATAGGACACGGTACCACATAGCTCTCGCGCCCCCTCGCCTCGTGGGCTGTGGCACAGAGGGGACAAACACCCTTAAGGCCTAGTGCCAGGTAATTACCAAGCAAATTCCCGGCGATTTCCTTTCCTCCCCGGGCAGTGCCTGCTGCGTGTTCCCTGATTCGGGCCCCGGCTGTGCAATCAAGACCAGGTAACCTGCGGGGACCCGTAATTGCTCTGGAGTTGCCTGGGACTTTGCAAGGTAAGCACGTGCGAGGCTTCTCCCCCGCCCCAGTGCGCACGGGCTCGCCTTGCGCCACCCTCTCTCCGCCGGATGTGGGGGACAGGTGGACGCTGGGTGCTGCAAAGAGCCAAGTGGGACGAGATCCGATTCCGCGAGTGAAAGAGCAACTTTGCGTTAATGGAACTAGGTTAGGGAAAGCCCGTGCAGAGAGGAGAAAAGGAGGGGAGACTGGGCGACTTGGGGCAGGAGATGGGCCACCTTGCCCTGTCCCCTGGGAAAGGGGCCTTGGGGTACATGAGATCCTCCTGGCCCTTCCCTCCGGTGCAGAGGCGCCTCATTGATGAGCCTTGTCATCATCCTTCAAGTGTAATTTTTTTAAATTGCAAAAATCTTACAGAGCTATTAACCTCAAAAGAGTTTAACATATGGCAGACCGAGTCTCCCTCTTACCCTAATTATAAGGCTTGCAGTAATGGGGCTGTCTTTTAAGTTACAGCTGCTGCGCTTTTGGCTTTCGCTAACATTACATCCTATTAAAGAGCTACATTAAATGCATGCAAATTGCTGGAGCGACCGCACTCTCCCGACCAATGAGGGGGACGGATTGCAGCCGAGGCGGCGATATCGGGGTCAGACTCACCCTGCTGCGAACGCCATATGATCTATCAATCAAACTCCTCTCATTAATTAACTAATTCATTAAATATCTTTATATATGAAGGCCCGGCCAGGCGGAACATTGTGTTGACAGGGATGTCCCATCAGCACTTAGCCCTGCGTTCCTGTCCCCTCCCACACAAATCACCGGGTGACTAAGGGAGGTCAATTTCCCAGTGTCTGCGGGCAAGGATGCAATCACGATGTGGCTCCTGGGGGCGCCCTCCTTGAGCTTCCTTCCGTGTCCGGCCTCCCTGGGGTGCACCTGTCCTCTCTCACTAGAGCATTGTTCTAATAAGCACTGTGTGGATCTTTTGCCTCTGCTTTCATGGAAACCTTTAGAGGGTCAGACTGGGAAGGGTCTTGCTTATCCAGTGCTTCAGGGCCTAGCACAAGGCCTGTCCATGGCAGATGCTTTGAATGTTTGCTCTGAATTGAAGTGACTGCCTCTCTTCAGTACTTCCGGCACCCTTGAGGCCTTCTTTGCTTTTCAGGAAAACACTTCAGAGAGAAGAGGACAGCCAGGTGAGCTGATGACATCTGTGGAGAGGAGGAAGGTGGCCTATTGGGGCCACGGGAGGAGAGACAGAGATAGGCTGGGGGGGGGGGGGTAGGAGGAACGTTTAAAGTTCAGAACTGGCCAAAAATGTAATCACAGTATTCAGACTGTGAAGCAGACTCCTAAGAGAACCAGGCCGTGAACAATAGAGAAACATTTTAGAATGGATACTGGGTTGCTTTATAAGTGTGTGTATACTTTAACCTATACTATAGATATCAAACTCCTTTCATTAATTCATTAAATATATTTACATATTTGGGAACAGCTGTATAGAACATTATGTTGACAGGGACAATGTTGTATGTATATGTGAGTGTGTGTATAATTTGTTGAACACTATCTGTCATTTTCCTATATTATCTCGTTAAATGTTGGCAACTTTGTTAGGTGTTTATTTTTGTTTCTAGGTAATAGGAAAAGAAACAAAGGCTTAGGGACTAGTAATAACTAATCCAAGGTTCAAGTGGCAGAGCCAGAAGTCATACTTGGGCTTTCTGAATACATGACCAGGGCCTTCTGCTATGTTATCAAAAAGGAGGAAAATATTACTGGTGAGATCAACAAATGGGCTCTCCTTAGACACCTACTGCCCACTCTGTCTACATAGTTGTCTTTCCTTATTTCATGGTAGCCACTGTCACCACTGGCTTCTTGGCTGGTTTGGTAGATTTGGGAAGTGAAGGTGGTCGTAGCATCCTATGATTCAGGCTGCTTTCTCTAGACTGTGTTTAGAATGGGTTGGAGTGATTTTCCATTTTTGTTGTGTGTTTTGTTGTTGTTTTTGTTATTGTATGGTACTAGGGATTGAACCCAGGAACGCTCTACCAATGAGCCACATCCCCAGCCTTTTTCATTCCAAGGTTTCACTGAGTTGCCCAGGCTGGACTTGAACTTTGTGATCCTCCTGTCTCAGCTTCCCAGGTGTGATTTTCCATATGGAGCATCTGGAATGGACAAAACCAGATGCCTTATCCTTCTGGACCCAAAAGATGTGGGCCCTGTGCAGTTGGGTACATACACGGAGACCAGATGGGCGGTCTCTAAACCAGCTCCTGAAGGACATTCCTCCACCACATAAGACTCTAGCCTCTGCTGGAGCAGGCAGTCTGGACAGGGATATCAGGTCAACGTGAAGAGGACCAGTGCAGGTGTCCGCCTTGTTTCCTGCTATTCAGTTCATGCAAGTTCCCACTCCATCCGTGTGAAGTGTGATGTGCAGGGCAAACTGGCAAAGCCTAGAAATCCCTGGAAAAAAATTGCCAGAACCTTTTATGCTGCTTCTCTCCCTGTTTCCATCTCACTTGCTCTCATGACCTTCTGAGACATGGGGCTAATGGACTTTGGCCGTTAGCACCCGTCATGTTGGGTACCAACCTCACCATGGGCCTCTGTAACTTCCTCTAGCCCCCTTGGTTCCCAAGAATAGTTTTGGAATGGGGCGCGCTGTGATAATGGGGGTTAATGGTAACCTTGGAATCAATTTTCCCTCCCAGAAGAAAATTCTCCAGGCTTAGGCTGCACACACTGTAATACTGAAAATGGCTCTAGATTTGAAAAATTGGCACGTTGTAGTCCAACAAGGCAATTTTTGAATTGTTCCATGCAGCTGTGCGCCTCTGGATGCTATGTTGCTTGTGTCCTAAAGCCATGGATAAAGAACATTTTCCAGCCAAAAACAGCTCAGAGGTTGTTTTTTCTTCTCCCACCCCAGCCTGAATTTGTTTTTTGTTCACCTGCCCAAAACCCTTGGAACTTTGGCCTCTACCTAAGCAGCTGCCAGAGCTGTTGGACAAAGTGAGAGTGTGTGGCTCTCTGCAGAATTTCCTTCCTGCAGGCCTGAGGGCAGAGGGCCTGGGAAAAAGGGTTTCCTGAAGAGCAGGGTCCATGCTGGGCAGCTAGGCAAGGGCAGAGCAGCTCAAGAATGCAGCTTCCAACCAGCTTTTCCTGGCTGGTGTCAGAGCCAGACCTTTCTTGGATGAAATGACAAGAACCCAGAAAAAGAAGCGTTTGATCATTGCGCAGGATACCTGATTTGATGAGCTGTGTTTTCTCTATTATAAGATGAGAACATTTTTTTTCCCCTGGCTTTACGAACATTTAAAATACAAAATAAGTCATCTCAGAATAAAAATAACAAGGTATATACTTCAAGTAATGGAAGCACAGAATGTGAGGACCGCAAGGCAGTGTACCAATTACTTAGTAAATGTCCTTGTTGTGAAGGTGGGGATTGAGGTTGCCCAAGGTCACGTATCTGGTTGGTGCATGAGATCTTCCTGTCCCCACATGGTGCTTCAGGCTCTTTGGGTAATGGCTCAGGTTGTCAGGGAAAGCCATTGTTCTATCCTTCTTCTCCAGTGGGGTCACAGCTCTCTTTCAGCTTATTTCTCCTTCATGATTTCTCTGCATGGTGGGACTTATTTGGTGACTGAAGATGAGAACCAAATAACTGGATGAAATAGAACATGGGACAAGGGCTGAACTGGTGCCTGACCTACTGGCTGCTGGCCCCTCTAATGCAGTTCTCACAGCAGGGCCTGTGATCTCCACTTGTCCATGGATCATCCCTTCCTCCTCAGGCTCCTTTCCATGGCTCACCATGTCATTCGTGAGATGATCTGTGCCTGTTTCTCTTGTCCAAGGCCTCAGGACCACTGGCTTCTCTCCACTCTGTCCTTGCCCAATATTATGCAGGTGTCTCTGCATGCTGATGTTTTTTTCTTTCCTTAGATGCATCTTGCCTCCATTCCCTTTTGCATTTGTCATTCATCTTTGCACACTTGATTATTCCCTTTGTCTAGAAAATTCTAGACTGACCTGTCCCTTCATTCCTACTTCCCTTCACCTAGTGAACTTTGACTCACTCTTTGTTCTCAGTTGTAACACCAGTTTCTTTTCACTAAGCCACAAAGTCTGGATGAGAGTATGGCCTCCCAAAGCACTTTTTCCTTCCCTATGCTGTTACCTTTCCTATGGCATCAGCCCATTGGAATCTCCCGTTTGAGTGTAAGCCTCAGAGGGCAGGGCTGTGTCAGGTTCATGTTCACTATCTTATGAGAGGCACCCTGCAGACTGCGTGCCTCATAGGAGGCATTCCACGAGTACTATATAAAATGATGTCACTCCCACTATAATAAATAGCAACAGTCGGCATTTACTGAGTGCAGGCATGTACCAGAAACTACAATAAGTGCATATTATACGCATCTTCTGGTTTGTATTAGTTCTTGTGTTAATGAAATGAGATAAGAGATCAGGGTTCTAGTTCTGGCTCTGTCACCAGCTAACGCTGGCTCTCAACAGTTACCATGGTTTCCTCCTCTTTAGCATGAAGGAGAGAGAAAGGAGCTGCCGGACTTCACTTCTCTGTTCTTTTTCCCAGACAGAGAGGGAATCAAGAGTCAGTTGAAGTGGGCCTACAGGGAATCAAGGCTCAGGATTCAGAGAACCAGCAGACACAGAGGGTCATCCGGGAGCAGGAGAGGGATCTGGCAGAGGCTGGGAAGGGCAGCGGGTTGTTCTCCCATGCTGGGGTAGAGCTTCAAAATAGAGAAGCCCGCTGCTAGCTGAGTCATTAACGCTGGGCTCCTCGCTGCCACCTCGGGCATTGTCTGATTTAAGTGTAATAGCTTGTTTGGTGGATTTTGCCTTCTATAGAAATCCCCCCAAGAGTGAAGTGCTGCATTCATCCGGGAGAGCAAGGGCCTTTGTGCACTGATGGCCCGGCCTTGGCTGAATGTGTTTGGAGTTGGTTATCAAAGGGGAGGATAAATTAGAGTGCAGGGCTGAAAAGAGAGGAAGAGGGGGCCCTTTCATGAGCAGGGCTGAGCACTTAGGCAGCTGACTTGGGGCTGTGAAGCCCAAGGCTGGCCCTCTTGCCTTTTGGCAAGGGGAGTGCTATAGGCAGGGATGGCTGTAGACTGTCAAGAGCCCAAACTCAGAGATCCAGCCAAGCCAGTAGGGGGCAGGCACTGGTCTCCAGTGCCTGGAGGGGGACTGCGAATGGGTCATTTTCTCTTCCTGTTCTACCTCTTTTTTTCTTTCGGGGTGGTTTAGATATCTGCATGAAGAGTAATACCCACTTGCACTTCCTGATTTATTGAATCTAGTTCAGATAGTGCTGCTGCGGGCTCTAAGGGGATTCTCTGATCTGGGAGACCCTATTCTGGGGCTTGGAACCTTCCCTTTATTAGCCCTCCCTGCATCTGCTGTTCTCCAGCCCTGCAACATACACTTGCAAATTGGTTTCCAAGCCAGTTGTGTGAAGGGCACTGATCAGCCATGAGGATGGAGCTCCTAGAATAAGAGCTCTTGGGCACTTGCTGCTCTCTATGGACTTAGCTTCTGATGTCCAGATGCAGAGACCAAGTTGGGCACAGCTGTCAGCTGAATCACAGGCAGGGCTGCCTAAATATGGCTCTGACTGCCTAGATTTTCCCTGTGACAACACTCACTCTATTCTTCAGTGGTCTTTTATCCCCATCAGTGTTCCTAGCCCTCCCACCCATCCCCCATTGATAACAACTTACCATTTGGGATCCAGATCAACAAAGGGGTCATTCTGCCAGGACCCAGATACCTGCCTTTTGTTTGCCCATTATAACTGACCCTTAATACCAAGATCTTAGAAGCATATTGTTTTCCAGTTGAAAGGAACCCAGGACATCAAGCTCTAGACCTATTATTAAAACCTGTCTTATGTTACACATATGTATGTGCATATATATATATATATATATGTATATTTTATATATATATATATACACATACACACATACACACACATATATATATATGTATATATATATATATATATATATATATATATATACATATAATATTTATTGTATTACTGGGGATGGAACCTTTTTTATTTTACTTTGAGACAGGGTCTTGCTAAGTTGCCCAGGCTAGTCTCCTAACTTGCAATCCCCCTGCCTCAGTGTTCCAAATAGATGGAATA